GGCAGAATTCCTCTTGGCTTCAGTGGAAGTGGGATCTGTGTGAACTGAACAGTTTGATAAAAATAGATCTGTAACAATTCTTCCAAATTCACTGTCTTTGCCTGCAGTAACATTGTGGAAACTATTATGCCAGCATCCCTTCCTTTTGTCTCCATGTACTCTGCATATATGGTAAAATCAGGGGGGGAACAGCCAGTCATTTCAGCTTCTCTCAACCTAAGAAGCTACATATTTGATTAGACTACAGAGGGAAGAGGAGTAGGAGGAAGTATTGGAAAAGTATTGCCTAAAGCATATATATTTAAAAGAAAAACTGCAAACAAGCAGCAATTCTTCCTCCTTTAATTGGCTGTCCATGTGCAGCACCCATGAAAACATATCTGGCAGAAGATCCTCTTATACACAGCTCTTCTGGACATAGCATTGCTCCCAGATACTTCACTGAGTCTCTGAGCCTTAGTAAAAGAGTGAAGGGACCCCATCTGGCTGCTTTTCAAATGGGAGTTTTTCGAATATCTCAAAGGGAGGTAACTTTTGGGGAAGGCCCTAAAAGAAATGTAGGTTCCTTTTACAGCCCAGAATTACTCTTTCATACAGTCTGATGCTCAATGTGAGAATCTTTGTGAGCAGCAAAGCAAAAAAGTTAGTCTCTTTCTAAGGCCAATAGCATTGCCTAAGCCCTGTCTTTTTTCTTGGATAAAATGCTTTCAAGAAGAGAAGAAATGGGAAAAGGGTCTCCAACCAGAAAAATCAGTAACTTTCCAGAGATAAACCCAGGTATCTGGGACATAAAGCCTGACAGTTTTCGTTAGATTGTGACACAAGGACAAACACTATTGAAATACTGGTATTAGGACAGCTGTCTAGATCTTCTAGTCATGGTCTAGCAATTTGAAGCAATTGAAGTTGGTTTGTTTGACTGCTCAGCGCCCCTGCAAGAGAGATCATGGATAACTCCACTAATCCCAAGAGGCAGCTCTCTCTTTGAAAAGTTAGGGAGAACTGGCACAGCCTTACTTGTTGACCTAGGACACAGCAGTATTATTCTTCAGAAGCACCTGAACAGGCCTGCCTGGCAGGTTTGAGTACCAAGACATTGATATATGTTCATATTCACTGATGGGGAAGAAACTTTGAACTATAGGTCTCCCTGATTTATACTTCCTAGCATAGGATTGTATTCCAGATTATATTATTGAAGTTGGGGGAGGATAAATGTGGGAGAATAAGTGTGGAAGGATATACATTTGCTAACACTGTTTGGGTCTTTCCAAGAATAGCTGTATTTGTACATCAAGTAGGATAGAAGAAATAGAATGGAAATATTTGGTTTACAGAATAATAAGAGTCAAGTCTGAAGGACTCTCACCCAAGAGTGGTCACAAAGACACACACTGCCCTCTTAGGAGTTCCAAGAATTATTTGCATTCATCTTGGCTAAACAGTGAGGCTGTGTGTAGCTCATGGGGTCTCAGAGAGTACTTTCCTGAAGAGGGCTCATCTTCTTTTGAAGAGCAGAGGACAATGAGGAAGACTGTGTCGACTCTAGCTGCAGCACAGAAGATAGCAGAGTGCTTGATGAAGCACTGTTGAATGCATGAGTGACAGCAGGTCACCCTTGTGAGGATAACAAGAACTCTGAGCCAATCAAGCAGACAACTGTAGTTACCTCAGACTGTTATACCATGAATAAAAGAACTAGACAGCTGTCCTACTGCTGCTATGGAAACATGCATGACAACATGCTCAGGAGGGATGGGAGGTGGCAGGAGGCTAAGAAGGCTGTGGAACTCAGGACTTGGATTGTGGTTTTTCGTCTCAGGAATGTGGAGGGGAAGACTTCCCCTGCCTAGCAGGGATGACTTTGGGAACAGCGGTGTCCATTCTCAACAAAAGTTTGCAAGCCTTGCCAAAGTCTTTCTTTGTTGTTCTGTCTTGATAGTGAGAGCAATGGTGACACAATGCAACAGAGGAATCATGTAACAAGTTATACCATGCAACAACTTCAAACATACTACTATCTTTTTTTTTTCTTTTTTTTTTTTTTCAGTTGATGCTTCAACACAATATAGAGTATGCATTTGTGTGCCCATGAACTGGCCCTCAGTGGAGATTTCACCAGCTGTTCCCAAATTTGCAGAGGAAAGCGTATTGTGGCTTGGACTAAGCTCAAAAAGGGGAACTTAGGAGAAAGTTACAAGGTCCTTTATGAGGTAGTAGACATTTTTTTCTGTTTTCCAAAGTTCAGCTGAGTATTCTAGTCTTGCTAGTATTACCTTGATAATGAATAACCCATTCATTAATAATCTGTCTCTTTTGACAGGGTTTTACTGCCTCTAAAGAAGGACAGTTGCAAAGTACTGGCCTAAGTATTTTGTTCTATGCATTTGAAGAACGTAGGGACACCTCCTTTTGAGGAGGTCGTGGTTGCTGGGGTTTTTCTAGTGATGGAAGCACTCTTAGGTCTTATTTTGAAGAGGAGGTCATAAATGTAGAGAAAGTAAAAGTAACAGAGAATCAAGAGGTAACAGAAAAATGTACCAAGTGCACAATACTGGCACAGTGAAAGCTAGGTCATACTGAGGTCTAAGTGCTCTCTCATGCATTCTAGCCCAGAGGCACCCTGAGCTGGAAATTCATTTATCCTGGGTGTATTTATCCTTGCTTGTGCTCACATGTAGCTGTCAGCTACACCCATCCATACTGAAAAGCAATATCCAGGTCTTGGGCAAGCTCTTTGACATCATTTTAGACTGGAAAGTCTCAGAGACTAATTACAGGAGCAGAGTTGCAGTACCTTGCCCATATACATCCATACCTCCTACAAAGAACACAAGCAGGAACAG